CAGAGAATGGTGTTCCTAAAAGATCGAACTTGCAGCTGTAGAAGGTTTCAGTTGGATGAGCTGTCATGTGCACATGCTTGGGCAGTATTAAAATACAAATACATTGAGTATTGCTCGGTATACTATACCAGGAAGTACCTATTGAAGACCTATGAAATTCCAATTTATCCGGTACCTAATGAAAGCACATGGAAAATTCCTGCAGAAGTTCTAAATGAAAAAGTCTTGCCACCAGACGTGACTAAAACAATAGGAAGGGCAAGGAAGGAGAGGTACAAGCCAATATCTGAAAAGAAACGAAAAAGGTCGATTTCATGTGGACAGTGTGGAGAAGAAGTTCACAACAGGAAAACTTGTAGAAATAATCCAAAGAGAGGATGAAATATGTCAAATTTAGAATCACTTGTTATTTTACTTTACTGAATATCATAGAGATTTAGAATAATGCAATATATCAAGAATTATATCATTGTAGAATGTCATTTGAATTTTAGGTATAAATAAATATTTGACCTATCATTTAAAATCATGTTGCAAGTGTATATTATACATATGTTTGTTTAAAATGAAGTTGTATCAGCTATGTATCATATTTGTATCGCTTGTGTATCACATTTGTATCATCTATGTATTGCTTGTGTATCACATATCTTACTCATGTCTGTATTTGTGTAGTAACAAAGCTAACTAATGGAAAATAGTCATAGCAGCTAGAAAACTATGCAAATAGTTTTAGAAATTTGCAAATAAGAGTGGCTTCATCAATACGTATTTGAAAACTATGTATCATATGTGTATCATATGTATATCATATCTATATCATATGTGTATCATTCATGTATCTGCAAGAGATAATATATCACAAACTACGGTATATTTTTCATATCTTTAATTCACAACACAAAATCAAGGGAGAAAATACCAAAATAAACTAAACTACAACACTCCAATATCGCACTGAAACTCATTAAACCTTTATAACAGAGCAAACATATCATTTGCCATGCAATTCTTAAAAGTATTCATAAAATTCAAGCACAAACAAATCTGATCCGTCTTACAACAATGACAACATAACAGAACACAATACAAAACGAAATTATAGAGTTCATCCTACAACAATGATAGAAATAACTACTTCTTCTACTTTCGTGACTTCTTCTGTCGATCAATAATCTCATCATCACTTTGCGCGTTCAGTTCCATCTTTTTTCTGGCATAATCCCATAAGAGAGCACCAAATCTGCATCGGTATGCATAGGCATTGAATTGTTTAGGAGGCGTCATGCCCTCAATGAAATACTCGGCAAATGATGTTGCAAATATACCGCAATCACTACAAAAAATAAAAAGAACAACAACTATCAAACTGCAGAATCTAAAAACAAGACAGATTGTGTTGAAAGAAATTAATACGCTTCGACTTGTTGAGGCAATCCTTCAACCATTTTTACATCAAAGGGGGTAATCAAGTCTTTTGATTTGTAGACACCAGTGCGCCAATTGATATCTTTTTTGTTTAAATAGAAATATGTGTGCACGAAAAAATGAGGCAGCAACACAGAATACTTGGCCATGGTCTTATGAACTTTGGCTTGATGAGCAGCTCCATCGCGCATAGAGTTATACATATAAATGCGCCTATCCTTGAAGGACATCACAACCATTATCCAATGCCATTTTTCTGAAATATTAATTGGCATTAATACATGCTCGACAATGTGCCATGGAACATTGGCATCCAAGACAAATCCTTGAATATACTCTGCAATGACATGTTTCGGATTGCACACATCACTATCTCCATCTGTATCAATAAACGCCTGCCACAACTCATTAAATTTCTGGTCGAAGTACCAATATGTGGTGGTGAATGTTACAGGTAGGTCTTTGTCATACTTCCCCTTCTTCCTCAGATAATATAACAAAACATCAATGTGCTGAAATAAAACATAACAAATAACTAATCACTAAAGGCTTGTAAGCATTAAGCAGCTACGGTTTTTCAAACCGAAATCACAGAAAACAAAGGAAAATGAATGCTCACTGCTATCTCTTGTGCCAGGCAATAGCAATTAATAATCTGTTCTAACTTAAGAGGACTGAGTGTTCATGTGTACACTGGCTAAAATCTTTTAAAAAATACTGCAGAAGTAAATTCTTACATACCGAGTCATCCAAAGGCTGACCATTATATGCCAAAGTGTAAAATCATTTTTTGTCTTCAACATGAAATACACCAAGATCATAAGCAGGATTGAGTTCACTAACATGCTTTGGGTAAATTTCATTCCTGGTAACATATATACACAAAAGAGTACAGTAATTTGATATAAAATAATGCTATAAGTGACAATATATTAAAATATAAAACTGAAAAAAACTCAGAAGTTGGAAACATACTTCTTTCTGGACTTCCCTTCTTTGACCCACACAACAAATACATTTAACAAAGAGTTGTTAATGCCAGTTCCGATTTTACTTTGAAAAGGATGCTTAATAGCATAAATTTACTTTTTTCCTTTCGCTGCAACAACACCAGTACTGGAACCTAAATCAAACACAATAATGAACGGAGACTGCACGACCTTTGCAGGACATCTCTTTCTTTTTTCCATTTGCGGCGATACTTCAGGAAGTAATTCAGGATTGTACAGAACCATCTCTCCTGCCACCTCATTAACATTTACAGTCGCACAAAAAATACCAGCCCGAGATTCAGGAACCTTTTGTTTCTCAGATTCTTCCTCTGTCTCCCTGACACTGCATCAACACTTGCAGTCGCACAAACAATACCAGTCTGAGATTCCGGAATCTTTTGTTTCTCAGATTCTTCCTTCGTCTCCCCTGCCGCCGCATCTGCAATCTCACCAATACCGCCAGCATGTGCTACATCTGGTGTGAAAGTTACTTTAGCAACAAACATGTCAACTTTCACACCAGAAGGTCCATTGACACCTAACTGATCTGTTGCATCGGGCATAATATTGTTACGATAATACTCACTAGTATCTCTTTGAGAATGTGGAACATCTTTGCCTTCACTTCCACCGACCTATTTTTTAAAAAAAGAATCGAATTATCAAACACAACAAAGAAAAGAAAAGGGAAAAGTGCAGAATGCACAACTAAATACACCTTACAACCATCCATTTCAATATCTTCATTGCCACCAAACTCCATATTGCTCACAAAATCATTATTGTCTTGATGACCATGGGTGTCTTCCTTTGGATGTGCACCATATTTGACTTCGCTTGCACCAGGCTATTTTAAAAAAAATGATACAGTAAGTTAACTAAAAAATAAAAAGAAATTCACAATGGAAATGAAAGATATACCTTGGAATTTATCAACTCAAAGACATCCTTGAATTTATCAGAAACATATTCCATGAAGGAATTTAACTGCTTATGGAGCTACAAGATGAAACAAATAAGAAAGATAATAGACTTTGGATATACAATTTGAACACTACTGTAATGACCCAGTCAGTCGTTTTGAGAATTTAAGCTTCGCTCAGCGGCTTAAGGTCTGGAATAGCTTCATAATATGATTATCGACTTGCGTGCATGGTGGAATTCAGTTAACGGATGGTTCAGAGTCAAATTGGAAGAAGGAATCTAGTTTTGGAAGTTTGAATGGTGAGAATTTGATCAGAGTTGGACTTTTGAGTAAACGGCCCCATAATGAATTTTTGATGATTCCAACAGCTTCGTATGGTAATTTTGGACTTAGGCACGCATTCAAATTCAGAATTGGAGGTCTGTAGGCTAAATTGAGGCATTGCGAAAGTTGGAAAAGTTGAAGTTTGGAAAATGAAGAAGTTTGACCCACAGTTGACTTTTGGAATATCGAGCTCGGAATGCAATTCTGAGAGTTGGAATGCTCCGTTATGTCATTTTGGACTTGTCTGCAAAATTTGGCATCATTCTGGATTGATTTGATAGGTTTCGACTCGAGTTTAGAAATTTGAAGATTTGAGAGTTCATAAGTTTGATTTATGGTTTGATTTGTTGTTTTGGCATTGTTTAATGTGATTCGTAACCTCGAGTGAGTTCGTGTTAGGTTATGTGACTTGTTTATGTGTTTAGACGGGGTCCCGGGGGCCTCGGGTGTGTTCCGGATGGGCCAAGGGTCATTTTTCCCACTTTTGGAACTGTTGTTTTCTGCTTCTGGTATCCTCCTTCGCGATCGCGAATAGCTTTCGTGTTCGCGATGCCTTGTTCCTGACTACCTCGAAATCCTTCTTTGTGTTTGCGTCCAACACTTCGCGTTCGCGAAGCCCTGCATTTTCCTTTTCCGCGTTCGCATCCTTCCCTATGCGTTCGCGTAGGCTCCTGCCCTTCTTCTCCGCGTTCGCGAGCTCATCATCCTGTTTGCGATGAGAAACTTTGGCAGCCTTACTTTTCTTCTTCGTGAATGCGGTCCTGTGACGACCCGACCGGCCGTCTTAAGAATTAACGCCCCGATCCCCTATTAACTGCTTTCCTCGAGTCTATTTCCGCTATTTTTGATTGCGGGGATGTTCAGTTTTAAGTTTCGGAAAGTTTTGGGAAACTTAGTCCCTAAATGAGAGCTTAATTGTTGGAAAGTTGACCATAGTTGGAACAGTGTGAAGACGGCCTCGGAATGGAAATCTGATGGTTCTGTTAGCTCCGTTGGGTGATTTCAGGGTTAGGAGCATGTTCGGATTGTGTTTTGGAGGTCCATAAATAATTTAGACTTGAAATGTCGAAAGTTGAATTTTGGGAGTTTCCGGTTCGATAGTGAGATTTTGATCTGATGTTCGGAATGAAATTCCGAGAGTTGTAGTAGTTCCGTCATGTCATTTAGGATGTGTGTGCAAAATTTAAGGTCATTCGGACAAGGTTTGGTAGACTTTTTGATCGAAAGTGTGTTTTTAGAGTTTTTGGAATTTTTAAGATTGAATCCAATGAAAAATAGGTGTTTTGATGTTTTTGAAGAAAAATTCTAGAATGAAAATCGGGATTTGAGGGACCAAATGGTATCGGAATTTGATAAATTTTGTATTGTTGAACTCGTATCGCAATGGGTATTCAGTTTTTATAAAATTTGTCGGGTTCCGAGGTGCGGGACTGGGGGTCGACTTTTGGACCGATTTTTAGAATTTGATCAAGATTGAGGCTTTATGATACGGAATAGTCCCTTATGTGTTTTATTTATGCTTTGAAGTTAATTTGGCTAGGTTTGAGCCGTCAGGAGGTCTTTTCACCCGAGAAGTGCATCTTAGAGTTTTTGGTTTGTCGTCTTTGAGGTATGTATCTTGCTTAACCTTGTGTGGGGGACTTCCCCTAGGATTTGAGTCTTCTATGATTGATTGTAGTTCGTGTACGCGATGTGATGAGTGCGTACTCGGG